TCCTACTTTAGCAGTGTAAGAATGGAAGAACTGAAGGCAGCATCCCATGTTTAGATTCTGATGGAGAGAAGCTGAGTAACAAGATCCCTAACAAGAGCTGGGGGCAGCCATTCCCACTGACTCACCTCAACCTTTGGGCAACTCAGGATATTCTGTCATGGTTTGTCTGTGCTTAACATTGTTGAAGTCTTTCAATGTCCTGACACTGTGAGAGTGCCTATTGGCAAAGTGTCTGTGATTCCAGGTCCTTGGCCCACCATGAGGAGCACCAAGGTTGCCAGGGAGGTGCATCGAGGGATGCCTAGCTGCTGTCCTCAAGAGGAAGAGCTTGGAGTGACACAGTAAGAACACAGAGGGGGAGGAAAGGAAAGGACAAAGGTGCAGGTTCAGCAAGGGAAATTGAGATAAATTCATCACAGTGAGTGGTTGAGGAGTGTCACAGAATACCCAGAGTGGCCATCCTTGGAAATTTCATCTCCATCCTTGGAGATTTCAAGGCTCAGCCAGCCAGGCCCTGGACAGCCTGCTGCAATGTCAGAGTTAGTTAGCCTTCTTTGAGTGGGGTGGTTTCCAGAGGGCTCCTCCAACCTAAGTTATTCTCATTGTGACAGTGTAGAGAATGAGAAGAGACTGTGTTGATGGAGAAACAACTGAAGTAGTTTCTCTCCTCCAGGCAAGTGGAGGGAAGTGCTCAGGGCTTTGCCCAAGCCAAGTGCGTCTGCACAGGAGTTGCTGCAGTTGAAAGCCAGAGGCAAGTCAGTAGCATATGAGCTTCACATATGTGAAATCTAAGTGATGGAAGTAAATGTCACCTGAAAGCAAACAGTTTGAAACCCAAACTTTTTAAAAACAGCTGTGCAATAGTAGGATAAATAGCACAACCTTGTCCTTCCAACTGGCTTTGTGTTTGCAATGAGATACAGATACTGGCACCAAACTGTTTCTGCTTCTGTTTCCTCTGTTCTTAATACCTCCTAGCTGTCCTGCTAGGCATTCCTCCTCCTGAGCTAGACATTCTTTTCCTGAATGCTTCATCTGAGTACAGTCCATGAGGGCTACATTACAATTTTCAAACTATCTGGAACTTAGCTGGATTTTTATCAGCCAAAGCAAGTTTTCCTCAGTTTCAGGGGTTTCCACACTGGAATTTTTCTACCAGGTGCAGCAAAGCTTTTACCTTTGCTCTGGAGCTAGGAAAGGTGTAAGCAGGAATGTGTGATGGTCATCTCCCCTGCTTTGCATTCATCTGTTTGCAAATTTTTCTGAAATTTCTTCATGTCTTTTCTTCATATCTGGCTCCACCACTCAAACTGCCACATTTATTGTACAGTCATTGCTAAATTAATACAGTATTGTTCTGTCTTTTTATAAAGTAACCAACTGAATACACGAAGCTCAGCTTGTTGGACAAACAGTTCCACCTTCATTTTGAGATTTTGAGGAAGATTTAGGTTGAATGTTCCATGGTTGTTAATACTTCTTGTCAGAGATATTTACACTTACTGTCCTTTGCTATTTGTCCTATCCCTATTCAGCTATCTTAACATTTTAGCAGAAAGTCAGGCTGTACTTGCTCTGTTTATTCCTTTATGAGCTCCTTCCTTCTCTATTTTGCTTCCTACAAATAAAGGCAAACTTCCCCAACAGAAGCCACTTAGCCTCCCAAGAAACTGATCAAAGCTCACCTGTGCCATAATGCCTAGAAGTGTTAATAGCCCAGTTTGTAATTACAGCAAACAAATTACCCTGTTAATAATGAATTGTTGTTTACTTGCATCTCTGTCCTGCAGGGAGCTGATCTTTAAAGAAACACAAGCAACAGAAATGAACTAACAATCAGGGTTGGAGGAGGAATGTCTTGTGGACTGGAGGGCAAGGAGAGAAGTGACACCAGAAGCTTGCAGACAAGGCTTTAAGGATTTGTTTCACAAGGGAAATTGCCTGCTGTCTCCATCTAAGGGAAATGAGGGCAGTTATCAAAGATGCGTTGGGCTGCTGCTGCTTCCTCCATGCGGTTGGTTGGATCGCAGCTCTGCCTTGTGATGGAGTCTTGGCTTCTGGGACTTTTCTTCTGTTACTGATTACACCATGTGTGTCAGCTGTGCTCAAACCAGAAAGCCTTTCTGTGTCCTGGCTGCCAGTGTTGCTGCCTCCAAGCTTTACGTCGTGCAGAAGACAGCTTTGTTCCTGCTCCAGGACACCTCATCCTCCTGCTCTGCCAGGGACCTGCCAGAGCATTGCTAGCTGGTTCTGGTAATTGCCTACAAGCGGTGAAGCCAATGATTGCCGCGAGCAGGGAATCTGAAATACGGCTGGAAGGGCTTTGCTTTATTTTCTTTTGTCTCTTCTTTTTCCATCCACGGACTGAAAAATACACAGATCTGTATAGCTTCAATGCTCTAAGGAAAGTAACGGGACACAAAGGAAGACCAAGCCAACAGAGTGTGGTGGGCAGGCTGGGTGTGGTGCATCCTCACCCGTGAAAACAGGGATTAACGTGACTCACAGCTGTATCAGTGCAGGGAGAGCCTTTCCAGCATTTCCAGCTAGCGAGATCATCTATTGCAGTGAAATGACTCAGTGACCGTAAGAGGCAGCCAGAGGCTCTCTCTGGAGTCTGCTTCTGGGACAGAGCAATGTAATAGATGGGAAAATGCACTGAGCACATCTCCTCTGGGCCTTGTTACTGATCTCAGCTGCACAACTCTGCTCAGCTCTCTGAAATATTGGCAACTCCTTGAGATTTTCAAATAATTTTAGGGTCGGTACTCCGTTGTTGCTAAAGAATACAAAGCACACCTTAGCTGCATAATGCTTACTTTTTGCTGTAATTTTGGAAAACTTTCATAACATAGGGGTCCATCTCTTATTTGGTTAGAGTCAGCACAGAGCACTTTCCCCTAGGAAAAAACATTCTCCCTAAGGCAAAATTATTGGCCCTTGGGGCAAAAACTACATTCAGATTGGGGCAGAACGAAGCAATTCCACTAAGCAGCAAGTTTAAGTAATTTTCAAAGCCTGTTACTCCTAGCCTTTAGGATTCTGGATCATTTTTTAAATGTCGTGTAGTCCTAAATATGAAGACACATCACACAAAGGGAAGGCAGAAATACTTGGAGCAAGGATGCTCCTTGGGAAAACAGAACCACTTTGTAAAGTTCCCTCTCAAACGTGACTCAAACCTGCAAGTGCAAATGGGACACACAGGGTCTCTGGGTTCCTTCCATGCCATCTTTGGTGATTTCTCAAGATCCTGAAAATCTGCTCATGTCTTCTCCTGCCTGCGTTCTATGCAGACCTCCAGTATGCGTAGAAATGAGGAACCAGTATCAAGGAAGAAAGGGAGGCAAGAAAACTAAACCCAGAAGCTGCCTGCCCTGCCACTTTACCCAGTGGTGCTCACTTGGCATGCTTAGCAAAGAAAGGCTCCAAAGGAGGCTGGAAGTCAATTTAGATTATGACTTCACTGCATGCATTGCCAAAAACAGCAGCAGGAAATGAAGCAGCCCAATGTGTAAGTGACCATTGTGCATCCTGGAATGATGTGTTTCTCTTGTCTTGTCTTTTTCCCTGTGTTGCCCAGCATGGCATGGTAGGTATGATATGTTTATCCCCAAACCATCAATTCACTTCACTGCTTTACTTAAGAAGGTGTTTGTTTTGAATGAGATGACTGATTCACCTTTTTTTCCTTCTGAATATTTCAATGAGTGCAAATGAAAGGAAACACTTCCAGTGAATGAGTAACCACCTAAACTTTGGATTCCAAATACTTTTGTGTTTCTGCTTTTTTTACCGTTAAATGACTAAAAAATGTTGTAGTGGTTGCTATGTCTACGGTCAAATAGTCCATTTGCACAAATCTTTTACACACAAATAACTGAGTTTCATGGCTCAGAAAATAAAGCTGCAGTGAGCTCAGCTGTCTCTTGACATCAGCAGTCTGCCCCTCTGTGATGACTGCTTGTTCAGTGTCTGATGGGCAACTGCAACCTGTTGCTCCATTTCTTGATGTTGCGGTTCTCTATTTTTCTGTACAGAAACTTTTAGAGACTCTTCTCTGTGATTTTTCTGCCTAAAGGCACAATGCATACTAGAACATTCTGTGCCCCAAATGGGCGCAGTAGTAGCAGAATTAGAATACATAATCTCTGGAATTTACAAGATTATTTCTTGCTCATACCTACTTAAAATTAAGACATTTAACGTGTTCTGCATTTAACCTGAGATCAGCAAAATGAAGTGGGCAAAGAGCAGCTAAGAGTGGAAGCCATCACTTGTACAGTCAGATGGCCAACGCACAACCAGCCCTTACAGAGGGACACAGGGCTCAGATGCTTGGCGGAGTAGCAGGATCGTGTGTTAGTCTCTAAAGGTATGAAACCTGCTGACAATTAGATGCACTAGGACATCACTTCTGGAGATGTAATTTCTTATACAGAGATCAATGTGCCTCCTTTGTCAAGGTGAACTGGAGTCATGCAAATACTGCACAATTAGATGGGAACATCCTGACTTTCTCACTTTGCAATGTCCTCTGTTCAGCAGACTGTAAGTTCCTTGGGGAAGGGAGTGTTAAAAGCAATTTTTCATTCTATCAGTAGAAGACAAAAAGGCATTTTTGCCACAAAATTAAAGCCATCCCCAAAGAAGAAACTAGCTAGGGAGGAAAAAAGTGTTATAAAGAAAGCTAGAAGAAAGCAGCAGAAAAGTAATTTTGGCCTCTGGTCTCTGGCGTGAGCTGAATGGCAGCACTGGTACTTTGCTTCCTTCAGCTTGGGAGTTGGAAATACAACCACAGAGCCTGGCCAAACATGGCTGTGGGGCTCCCTGCATGAGTGTTCCATTTCAGTTAGTTAGAAGGCTAGCTGAGCTGAAGCACGGGTCTTCAGAGGAATAACAAACCTGGTGAAGAAAGGCTTCAGATTCATCAGACAGTTACACTGCCAGTAGCAAGAAAACTGGTCCCATCTCATTAGTTAATAGGAAAATGAGAAGCATTTTGGGGGGAGAGATGAGGTTTATCTCACACAGATGTCTGGGGTTGTCCCAGCCCAGCTGCAGGATTGATGTCTGCCTCTTCCCAGTCATCAGGACTCTCCTGCAGCCACCACAGCCTTTCAGAGACGGCCTTGCAACAACGTCAGCCAGCTCCCTCAGTCCTTGGGTGCATCCTATCCAGTCTCCAGACATGTGTAGGTGTCCGTTTTATTTAAATTGTCCTCAATTCTACATTTTTTTAACAGCTCGAGATTCTAAAGAAAGCAAAGAGAACAAAATACCCATCATCACTGAGCATCACACACATCATTTCGTCAGAATTAGACCTTACCTATGGGCACCCCAGTCCAGCCATCCATCTATACATGTATGCATAGTTTTTGCATCAAGTCCTTTCTTCCTTGCTATATTGCCATCCTTCTCAGCTTTGCACTGACTTTCATAGCAAGACCTGAATTTCCTGTATTAGCAATAATGGACATCACTTTACTAGAAACAACTGGTCACATTTTCACTGAAGAATGTTTGTCCGTGAAACATGTTTCTTGACTCTCCTGACATATCAACTGTGCTGTGAGAGGCACAAAAGGAGAAGGCCAAAATGTGCACAGCATCTAGGGCAATAGGAGGCTGCCTACAATAGGAATCCATCAGGAATTGCAGGCACTGAATTCTTTACTCAAGGCAAAGCAAGATTTGGCAAAAGAAAGCATGGGTTGTGCATACCTTTTTTCTTGATCTCTGTTTTTCTATTCCAATATCACCAACAGGTTCCCCATATCTGTGGGACAAGGGCTGCACAGCACTGCCCTCACACACTGCAGCTATGAAGCTATTAAGAGCTATTAAGGCTGCAGTGGCTTTAATCCAGGGGTTTCAATTCATCAATAGCCTGTGCAGAAAAAAAAAACACTTGCAATTCCTCTTTGTGAAGAACAAATGGATAAGTGAAAAACGGAGAAAATGAGAGACAGTCTTTCCCTTCTGTGCTGAGAACAAAGTGTAAGAAAAGCCAGTGATTCTTATCAAACTCCCACTGCAGTTTGTGCATCAGCATGACAGCAAATAGGTAGGCCATAACTGGAACATGTCATCAGATTACCAGTAAATTGCTGCACTCTGCTATTAGATATGCTGGAAACTGTGCTGTATTTAGACAGGGTAATGGTCTGTTACAAGCAGATTCAGAACAGCCTGCAATACTGTGCTGCTTGTGTGGATGGACTTCTGTAGCAAGGTTGGTCAGACATCCATCAAATTGGGTGGAAAGGCAGAGGGACGCTCTCCTTGATGATGTGATGCAAGAGTGAAAGATACCACTACATCCAGCAACAGCCAACCAACGCTGGCAGAGTACCCTGTACAGCTTCCAATACCCAACCACCTACGTTGTTTTCTAGAGATATACTCAGATTTCAGTGAAATTTATTCAGGTTGCTTGAGGGCTTCACAACATAATATTTATTCTGCAAATGGAACTGAGTTAGTTGAGTCTAAAAAGGTAAGGTCAGAACTAAAGAGTATATCAAGTATCCAGGACTACTAGTCTTCCTGCCTTCAGTGAGCTTTGCTGGGGTTGCTGCAAAGACCAAAGGGAAAACATGTATACTGGAACAGCTTTAGTTGGATGAGACGAAGCCAATGAGGCACATGGAGGGAACTGAGGGATTTCAAGGGATGAAAGAGAAAGCTTCTCCAAAGGCTATATTGTACTGCTGAACCTGCACTCACAGCTGGCAGCCTCTCTCCTAAGAGCTATAGGCACAGGATCTGGGGTCAAATAGATAGGCAAACATAATCTGGCATTTCCAAAGCTGAAAAAGACCTGATCTCTTATCAGTGTTCTAATTCCCACCAATCTCTTTCATATCAAAAGGAGCTCAACTGGAAGAGAAGCTCTGCTTTCCCAGGGGCAACACAAACTAAGCCCTGTGGCAAAGCAAACAACTAGAAGGAAACTATTTCTCCTACAAGGTGTTCCTCCAATTGCTCAGGCTGTGGAAAGGTTCCACTCATTTTAGAATATACAACAACGCAAATTTATCAAAGCTTTAGAATTTCTGCACAAAAACATGAATCCATAACAAGATGTAGTCTGTAGAAACTGGAATGGTGTGTGTACATTGGATCACTAAGCAGATGATTATGTCAGCAACAATGGCTGATCTGAAGCTTAGGTGTGAATAACTGATAGGAATTTATTTTGGTCTTATCTATAGCTGAGGCTGGATTTATCAGGGGTGATACTTCATCTGACCTTGGAAAAGAAAACAAAAAGCTGTCAGAGATGATATTAGAAATGAGCCAGCTCCTACAAAGAACAGAGATGATAATCATCATGACATACCATGAAGTATATGGACACTTGTAGCAGAAATGCTGAGTCACAGCCTGAAGCAGTGATTGAGCACCTGGCGGGAAGGCAGGGCCAACCCAGGGGAGCTCAGGTGCATGCAGTGCTGCTGAGTGACCAGAAGGGGTGGAGGTAGGATCCATCTCTTCCCAGACCTCATTTTAGGGTTGGCAGTGAAAGAAGTGTATCTTGCTGAAGATCCCTGCCTATCTGAGGCCTCCCAGAGGTAAGAAGTTTTTCTTCCTTTGTTTCTGTGTCTATGACTGTTGTATTTGGGTTTGTCTTCTTTTGCTGTAGCCTAGGACTTTGCCATCCTACTCTTATTGCTGTACTTTCCATCACACTATAGCACTGCAACATGAAAGGCAACTCATTTAGTAAACAGATGCTCTTCAGATTAAGATTAAGAAAAGGGAAAAATACAAAACTGTGTGGAAGAAAATAGGACCATGTTCAAGGTGTAAGCATCAATCCATAAGGTGATTTGCCTGTAAGTAATGTTCATGCTGTGAAGAACTAAGAAATTAAATGCATTTGCACCAGATACAAACACTGGATGAGAAACTGAATGTAAAATCAAGATGTATGTATGAAGGCACTAGACTGAGAAGATTAGCAAAATAATCACAATGTCCATGCAATAAATCCATTTTTTCACTTGATTAAAATGTTGTTGTCACTCACTATTACAACGTATGAGTGTAAGGCCTCCAGAAAGCATTTCAACTAAAACTTTGGGTAGTTCATAGAAGCCACTTATTTCAGTAAGAGTAGGGGAATTTGTGATCCTAGGGGAAAAGAAGAAAACTAGTTTATAAAGCTATCAAGATACACAAGCAAAACAATAAAAGATTCAGACTTTTACCACCAAAATATCCTAATATTAATGCAGTTATATTACCATGTTATTTGTGCATCTGTGAAATAGCTTTCCCTTGTGGAGTAAATCAGATGTCCAGACACATCATCTGCTTTTCAGACTGTCTAATGTGGTAAGAGAAACAAATTAAGGTGATTAATAAAGCTAATAAGAAAGCTGGCCATCACCGTCAAAGCATTAGAGCTCAAAGTTTTAATAAAAAACTATCAGGACAAACAGTGAAACTCTAGACCCAAGCACCCCAAAGAGATCCCTAAAAAGAGCTCAGTCTCCAAATATTCTTCTTGTATTATTCATAATATTCTTTAAGTAGTAATTCATATCCATCCTGGGTCAGCAGCTGAGAATGCCATTTGGGAGCTATTCCACAAGTGGATTAACACTGATATCCTCAAGAGGGCAAACCAAGATGCCTGGCAAAGGTATTTATGCTATATGACACAACTGTGTGGGCATGAAGCTCACGCGGCAGGACCTCTGGTAGATAATGCCTACACCAGCACCCACCTACTGGAAGGAGCCAGGAAAGTGCTTGGAAAATGAAAAATGAGAACACTGCAACAGGCTGAAACATCCTTCTCTTGACATGAAGGAAAAACTGGAAATGTTGTAAGCTGTTAAGTGGAGAAGCCTTCACTTGTCTCTTGGCAATCTTGAGCAGTGAACACAGTATAAGACCTCAGACAACGTCAAGTACAAAGGCAGTTTACTTGGGAACATGTTGGGGCCACCTAGGACAAAAATACCTGTCTCCACAAAATAAGAAGCATCCCCAGCACATTTTGCATGGACCTTAACTGTTTCCTCACTACCATTGACATGTCTACCTTTAGAAAGTTTATGCTTTGTGTCTGGGAATTTAATCAAATTGCTCCATCCTGCTGCCACAGTTGATCAAATGAGAATGATGAATCTGTGGATAAATTTGGTATTTTAAAGTCTGCTGAATGTCACTGGAAAAAAAATAAATAAATAAATGAAGTCAAAGAAAACAAATTTTCCTGTCAATTTAAAGAACTATTCCACAAGGAGTATCTGTAGCATCTTAGTACTGTGCTGTCAGCTCTTTGCACTGCACTCAGCAGTAATCAAAGGAGGACCAAGGGAGGGTGAGAGAGCAGTGAGGGCCAGCATCTGCATTGGCTGCAAGGTACATGGGATGGCTTAGGTTGGTAGAAATCATCAGGCTAGAACAGCTCCTACAAGTGCAGCAAGGAGAACCTTTCATTGTCAAGGTTGAAAGTGGGACACAAACGCAGGCTTTGAAGAGAGTGAAACAGGCACCACTGGCAGGACAAGGTAACTCAGACATGGAGTGGGCCTCTGTCTGCACCTAAGATCAAGGAAGGGTTGTCATCATTGACAGATGGCACCAGAGACCGGATCTCTGATGGTGGCAGTGACAGAAACACTTCTCTGTGTGGCAGCAGAATAACACATGCAAGAAGCCAGACCTGGTGACTACCCTGCAGCAGCCTCCATCCAAGCACTCCAGCTCTCACCTTGTGTCAGTGCTTGGCACCAAACAAGAGGCAGCAGCAGCTCATGTGGAGGTGGCTGCTTGCTGGGCACTCCTCTGTGAGGCTGCAAAAAGCTGCTCACAGCTCCAGAGCAAGATCTGTTGTCACAGATGATGGCTGAAGAACTCACATGATTCATCTGTGGTCTTGGTTTGAAAGACTACTCTTTCAAACAAGAACTTGCGGATTACATTGAATTAAAATTAATTCAAGCTATTGGATACTGTGACGCTTGGTAGTACACATAATCTCTTTTATAAATACATAAATCTGCTCCTAACAGCAGCCAACGCCAAGTGCTTCTAAGGGGAATACAAAAAAGCATAATCCTTGCTAGTGAAGAACGGTTGTAAGCTGTAAAAAATGGGATCTATCTTTCTAAATGTATGCTAACAAATTTCAGATGGTACACAGATAGAAGGGATAAAGAGCAAATCTTTCTTTGTGTATTATTTCTTTCCTATCTTTTTTTCAGTCTTATCTGTTTGATCTTCATGACGTACTGCAGCAATACCAGCAGTACTTATAACATAAGGATCCAAAGCAACGTGGGAAATGAAGACGAAATAGCCATCACCAGATCAACTGATATTAATTATACAGTGAATGACAAACGTTTCCTTGCTTCTCTTTTGAAGCTGTCAATTTTTATTCTGTGCCATCCAGGATTTTGGGTAGTTGCAACAAGAAGCACCCCCTGCTTCCTCTGCACCCTTCTGGATTTCAGAATTTATAGGGTCTATCAGGCTGTTGCTTGTCTTCTCTAAAGTGAACAAGTCCAGCTTTTGTGAATTTTGTGTGCCCTGAGCCCTTTCTCTTTCTGGAAAGGACTGATCTTTCTGCACAGTATCGTAAGCAAAAAAATATGATGCTGTTCTACAACTGGCAGTATCACAGTGCTGTGTGTAGTCCTTCCATTCAAGCTTTCTGCAGTGTAACAGTCTGGGCTGCTTTCTGTTTGATGCATTGCACCTATAGAACTGTCTGTATGGATCTCTCAGTTGCTTCCATGAGTTAATTTAGGCCTCTGTGAAATAAGTACTGTATATATATTACCCTTCTAAATACAAAGGGGGTAGGGAAGGAGAAAAACCAAAGAAGACCAATTCAGAACTCATATTTTATCAAGCTGAGAATCTCAGTAATAATTTAAGCTACATAAACAGTAATGAAAAAAGTCATACGTTGCATCATCCTGCAATTATTACTCACGTTTTTTGCTACTCTTTCAGCCTTTGCCAGCAGTAGCTTGATATATATGACTCACTGTAAATTTGGGATTTTTTTGCTTAATATCATGCAGCTATCATTGTCTTCCATTACACTTTAAGGTAATATTTAATTAAGTTTTTATCTTTATCAATATGACATAAAAAAATTATTCTCTCCAATAAGGTGGAAATTAGAAGTCAATTCCTAAGACATCTCATTTTGAAAAGTTCTTTTAAAAGCAGGGGGACTGCCATTTTGGATTAGGTAACAATTCATTTCATGTTTTAGAGCACACAGTAGTTGAGAGTTATTTATTTAGTATGCTCATCCTGGTTTTCCAATGCAGCTCATGTTTTGTTTGTCCTGACTACCAACTCCACCTCTGTTGTAATTTAATATAGAAATAACTGAGGACCTGATGTTTCCTACCTCCATTTGTATTCCGAGGCTGCAATACCCCCCTCTCCTACTGTCTAACATCTCATTTGAACCTGTGGTGCCCTCTCAGAATTGGCTTCATTGCAAAGCCCTGCATGTGATGGTGCCAAACATGCAGGTAGCCCAGCCTCCTTTTCCACACTTCCCTCGTGCAGTTGATAAGTTCTCAGATGCCAAAAGCTTCTGAAATGGTTGAGAGCGATCTCATTTGGAGTGATGCAGTAGTACACTCTTCCTTCTCACCCTTGTCACATCTTGTATGTGAAACATCTAATAAATGAGCAGTGACTCAAAGAGCTCTGTGAAAATACTGAGAGACAGAGTGGGATCTCATGTACGAGAAGACTGTCAACAGAGTTACATGATTGAGTGAGATTGAGTGAGAGAGAAAATCTAGTAAAATAACACAGATAAAAGCATGGCTTGCTTGCTATTCACCATGCCTCTGTAACATCATGGTCTATCTCTAAGCTGTACTTTCTACTACACTACTGGCTTGCAAAACTTTTAATGGAACAAGTTTTTCTGGCAGAAGAACACTGATTCTTATCTTTAATGAGCAGCCTCTCTATCATTTTGCTTTGGGAAACAGCTTCCTGGTTGTAAACTGCTTGAGAGTGCTGACAACTTCAAAAGCAGCCGGTAGAGATTTTCTTGCAAAGTTCAGGAAGGATCTCAAAAATGCTGAAGGCTGCAGACAATGTTGCTATGAAGCAGGAGGACTCTGCGTCCCAAAATGGAGAAATGACAAGTTGGGATATCAATGACATCAAACTTCCCCAGGTATGTGTCTGCATCTTAGAAATTTACCCAATTCTGATCGGTCTTCTCCACTTCAGAACTCTCTCTTTCATCTATGCCTCATTGCATTTATGCTCTTTGTCACCCTGAGCTATAAGACTACGTTTTGCTTGAAGGGCTAGAGAATATCCAGTAAAATGGTCTTTCTACCCTTTTCTGGTCCCGTTACCTAAAAATCATACCCATGTACTCCATGGAAAACCCATGACACCCCACGCCTCAAACCTCATGACGCCTCAATGCCATCTTCAAAGACATCTTAGTATGTATGTGCCAGATTCCTCCTGCCAGGCTGTTTTGCCATCCAGCTCTGTCCTTCACCTTCCAACCCAGCCCTCTTACCTGATCTCAGTATCTTCCATGCTGTCTCACTGCTGCTTGCCCAAAGCCTCCATGTCCCAGGCCACCTCCTTCCCCAAGGTCACCTTCACCTGCATTCAGCCTGGAGGCTTCCTCCATACCTTTCTCTATGCTCTGAAATGAGGGTGCTCAGCAGTTTCTATCTTCAAAGTTCATATTCTTACTGCTATAATGGCTCTCAGTGGCTGGGAGCAGCAATTTTAAGTAAAGCTCTAATACCTTTGTTATGATCAACCTTTTCCCTCACAAACCATCAGAGGGTATGCTTCATGTTTTAAAGCTTATTACATTTTACTGTGTTAATTGTAGCAATAAAAGAGTTGTGTAATTAGTTATTTGCCTTATTCTATTTTCCACTGAGATGTTTTGTTCTTTTATTGTTCCTTACAGTATTGCCTCTGGAGTTTTTTTGTTTGCTTTTTCTGCTCATTCACCAGTGTTGAAAATAAAACCTGACCTTTGGTTTTAGACTTCAAAAAATCACTGTGGAAGACTTCCATGGCACTTTTAGGCCAAAAATCTAGAATGAAAGACCTGCAGATGTGCAAATAGCCTCACTTTAATTCAGTATTTGCTCTTTTTCCAGTGAGCTGAGCTAAATCAAGCCAGATGACTCAGAATAATGCTGCTTTCATGACCTGAAGGGCAAAGCAGAACAGCATGTGTTGTTTTATGTCAGGTACCCCATCTTAGTCCCCTGGAGCAATTCTGCACTAGGCAGAACCCACAGCCTAAGCCTTCTGGCCTGCCCTTCCTGGCTCTCTGGGGCTTGTGAGGAGCCTCATTTTTTCTGCCTTCCCCATGCCATGCTCTCTGGCAGAGAGAGCTGCCAACCAACACTGCTGCTGCTGTGCTGGAGTGACCCAGACTTGGAGAAAACCAGCAGAAGGCCATGCTGGGCTCTTAGACGAGCCCTCCTTTAGCCTAATGTTTTGTCTCTTTCTTTGTCTCTTTTCAGGACGTGAGACAGACAGACTGGTTTCAGGAATGGCCAGATTCCTACGTAAAACATATTTACAGCTCAGAGGATAAAAATGCTCAGAGGCACCACAGTAGCTGGGCAATGAGAAACACCAACAACCACAACTCTCGTATCTTAAAGAAATCCTGCCTTGGGGTGGTGGTCTGTGGCAATGACTGCTCTACTTTGGATGGCAGGAAGATCTACCTGAGGCCAGCCATATGTGACAAAGCTAGGCAAAAACAACAGCGTGAGTATGGGCATGGCTGCTCGTTACGTGGCAGCTAATAAGTGAAACCACATAAGCCAAATCAAAATGGAGGATAATCTTCGGGTTACCCAGCCATTCCTGTATTCAAATGCAACTCTTAGAATACTGCACTTCACATTTCTTCATATTGGAGGGCGTTGTGTGTTTGCTTGTTTCCTTTTGGGCTTACTAATCCTTAGAGGTTCCTTCCAACTTGTGATATTCTATGATTGTATGTGTTGGTTTCTTTTTTTCTGATGGAAGATGGTTTGAGATTGATTTGCAGCCTTCTCAGGCCCTGCTGACCTGAGTGTTATTTCATGGGCCCAAGAGTAACTTGGGGAAGTCTTGCAGGAAAGACAGTGCTCATTAACTACAATGGCTGGCAAATAGAGAACAAGTCTTATGAGGAGAGGCTGAGGGAGCTGGGATTGTTCAGTCTGGAGAAGAGGAGGCTCAGGGGAGACCTCATTGCACTCTACGACCTCCTGAAGGGAAGCTGTGGTGAGGAGGGGTTTGGCCAATTCTCCCAGGCAACAAAATGAACCCAATGGAATGGCTGCAAGTTGTACCAGAGGAGGTTTAGGTTGGATATAAGGAAGAACTTTTTCTTCCAGAGAATGGTCAGGCACTGAATGGCTGTCCAGGGAAGTGGTGCAGTCGCCATTCCTGGCAGTGTTCAAGAGGTGTCTGGATGAGGAGCTGCGAGGTATGGTTTAGTGCTTGTGGCAGCAGTGGTGATGGGAGGATGGTTGGGCCAGATGATCTTGTAGGTCATTTCCAACCTTACGATTCTATGATTCCACGATAGGCCTCATGGCCACGTTGCCAGAGACAAGATGGTACAAATAGAGAAAATGAGCTGGACACACATCCTTCATTTAGGTATTTCAAGCTCTTCTGTATTCCTCAATAGAGCTACTGTTTTTTGAAACCAGTGAACATTTTAGCTAAAGAAAGGTTTTACTCGAGCACTCACTGAGGTCAGAAAGACATCCCATAGAAAAATCCAGAAGAACCATACCTGACATTCCAGGCACCTTCAAGAACTGAAAGAAAAATGCTAAGACCTTTGAAGGTGAAAGCTCTTAGCTGACCATACTAAACGTGGAAATAGTCTTTGCTAGTTATATTTAATAATGAAACAGAATAAATGTAACTATTTGTTTGCTTATGTTTATGTTTTTTTGTTCTGTTTTGTTTTGTTTTGTTTGCATATTTATTCTCAGTGCAGTTTCTAAGCCCCAAAATAGAAGTGGCAGTCCATCCCTAAGTGAACCATTGTACCAGATGGGATTTACCTGTCTGGCATTACATAGGAAATGCTTCCCCTTGTTGTTTCTCCAGGGAAATGCTGTCCAAACTGCAATGGACCCCTGCGACTCCTTTCCTGCCGAGGCCATGGGGGTTACCCAGTCACCAACTTCTGGAGGCATGAAGGCAAGTTCATATTTTTTCAGGTTGGTATAAAATTACCTTACGTTATGCACATTAAAGATTTTTTTTTTTTTTTAATGTATTGATTAAGGAAATTTTCTTGTTCCAACAAATAAGGGTCATGGAATATGACAACAATGCAGTTGTAAGGTCAAAAATTTTCACAATGAGTGTGCAAGTTCCAAGCAACCTAATCTGAGGGCATCCCCGCTGGAGCAGGAGAATGAGTGAGATTCCCAGTGGTCTTTCCCAATCTAAATTACTCTATGCTTCTATAGTTTCACAGCACTTTTTTTGTTTACGCTCCCACAAGAACCTGTTGATTTTCAAGTATTTTTCACCATATATAAGGAACAAATAATTATCAAAGAATCAGAACTGACACTTTATATCGGCCTTGCTGGGAACCCTTACACAGACATGATGCTATTCCAAGGGATTATGTATGAAAAACACCATCGCTGCATTATACTCAACCTATACCTGGAAAACAATGCATCCAATGTTTAAATAATTGGAACTATTTTTGGAAGCCATAGACCTGGTTTAGTACCACACACACTGTGTTGCCTTCTAGTCTTCTGAGTCTTTATAGTTCTCTTTCATTTACATGCAGGTTAAATAATACTAAATCTCTGTGGGAGCTAATAGAAATTAATGTTCTGCTAAACACGTCCAAGAAGAATGGTAACAGCTGCAGGGACAATGTAGCCAGCTGACCTTGTGGCTTTAATTGGGTCTCCAGTGTGGGGAGTCTCCTCTGCATGTCAGTGTGGTATACTGCTTCACGATTTAAGTGAATTTCTGCCCTATCGCACTTCATCAGTGAAGCAGTCATCTGCTTGTTACTTGAGCTCAAATTAAATAAGTCTTATTAAATACAAAGCATTAAAACAGGCCATGTGTATGTTTTTGGCCTCTGCAAAAAAATCCCACTCCCGTAAGATTAATAACAAGACTGTTTGTAAATATCGCAATTCCTTTCTCAAGTCCAAAGGGGCTCATGACCATCCACGTCCAGAAACAAAACTAGAAGCAGAAGCAAGGAGATCCATTCAGAAAGCGCATGCAGCTTTTTCTCCACCTTCTCCAACACTAATAAAGCTCCAGGAGATCAAGGTAACTTTTATTATCAACAAATTAAATTGCAGGGCAAGGGATCCATGGTGCAAGACACTTCCTACGAGGAACCTTGTCTTTGGGTGGGAGTGGGTTTTATGTCTCTACATTTCATTCCCCTGTTGTCAGGTACAGAAGGAGCAGGGCTGTCCTGAGTCCACTGCTGGCATTCCCCAGTCCAGAGCCTCTTTTGGGCTGGAGGCAGGGCTGGAGGGCTATCACATCACTATTCACATCATTCTTGGCACAGTTTTTATCCATATAACTCACGCTTGCAAATAATTCTTGGCCTCATTTTATTTAGTGGTATGTACATAACTTTTTCCTTCTTTAAAAATGCACAAGTTGCCTCTAGAAAATTTTCCTACAAGTATAAGTGCATCTCCAGAAATGAAATAACTTATAAACAAATCTGGGAATAAAGTAATTAGGATTTAGTCAATTCTGTATTGACATCGAAGGAGAATATTAGTAGGTTTTAAATGGATTTAACTTTTAATATGAGAAAATTTAACAAATGAACATAAAAACTGGAACATCTTTTTGATAATAACTGGGCTCATGAGGAATATTTGTGTATGTGTGTGCATACGGAGTGTAGTATTTAATTTCTGAATGCCACAAATACTGTGTAGTATTACCCATATTATATCTCTGTCGTATACTGAGTGTGGTATCTGGACAAAACAAATCGTCATTAACAGGGCAGATCTACAAATCTCTGCCCAAGCAGCTGGGAGTGGAAGCTCTTATGGAAGACAAGCTACAGAGGTCCTATAGACCCCTGTGTGCCTGATGGAGTCAGAAGATAGAGAAGTGAGGCTGCATTTAGTGACTTTCCTTGCAAAGGTTGCGTTACACCCACCTGTATGCCACTCATCTTTACATGCATTTTGTCATTTGAAGTGCTGGAGGTGGCATATCCTCCCCAGCCCCGCATTAAGGACAGTGCTCATACCCTTTCATCAACAGGTAAAAAAGATAACTGAACCAAATGCAGAAGGACTCCTTAAAATACATGAGGGAGGAGGGGAATTCATAGCTCACAAAGTAGTTTACAAGTCAGCAGAAGTTAAACCCATTTAAATGGAATATGAATTTAAAAGTGCAGCTATTTCTTCTAGTAATATGCAGCAGGACACTAACAAACAGAACTTAGGTGTGATTCTCATGATGACACACTAACTTGGGATGGGAAAGTTGGAGAACACACAACAGGCTGACAGTGACCTCTTGACACAGGTGAGTGGGAACACAAGAAAATAACCTTCCATGTTAGTATTTAACAAAGACTGAAACAATGATTCTCATAATATTGGTTTAATTCTGTCCTTTTGAGGAGGACACATAAGAAATGAGGAAGATACTTAGGAAATTCTTCATCTAGGAAATGTTATTGAGCCTT